ATCTTCAAGAATGACAAAAAAAGGTGCGAAAAACTGATTATTTGAGTGAATTTTCTAAGTCAAGGGACCATAACTCTGCACAAAATCATCAGACCGGAACAAAATTTGAACTTGATCTGTAACTTGTCATGATAAAACAATACACCAAATATCTAATCAATATCTTCAAGCATGAAAACTGATTTGCTGGACTGACGGATGGACAGACAGACAGAGTGCAAACCTTAAGTCCCCTTCGACTTTGTCAGTAGGAGACTAAATAAAATGAAAAGATTGTTTGTTATATTCATGGTTTACTTAGCAACTTCAATCCTGATATAATGAGAGAATAGAAATCCCTGGAAACTATTAAAAAAGATATTCCTTTTTATATTAAATATAGGGAAAGGTGGGGGAATGAAATCACATGCCCAACAACACAAAGCCTTGAAATATTTTTGTATGCTGCAGGGAAATTTTTTATTTAGATCTTTTCATTAAACAAATAATAAAAATAGGATGACAGAAAAACAAATTATTTATCTTTACACATGTAATTTGAAATAAATGACGGACATTTATGAAATCATAAATAAAAATATTGATGATAACCGATTTATACAAAAACATCAGAACTTTATTTCGGGGTATATTCCTTTAAAAATTTGTGACATTTTTTCCTTGGTTTTTCATAGACAGCCATATAACTTTGACTTACCTCTCTCGACCTCATTAAGTACCGCACCAATCTTCCTCTCAGTACTGCTAATGTTTGATTATCAAAATCAGGTGGACTTATACCTGTTAAAAAAATGAAAGTTAATTTATACAGATTTTTAGGATCATGCATGTGTGCTTTAATATAAATATAAAGTTTTAAAATCAATAGACCTTGACTGAAGGATTGGGCTAAAAGATGTTTAGATCATTTTTTCTATTCTTTCTATTTTTGTATCCCAATATACTCTACATTTGTTTTGCTTATTTTTCATATTTTTTGCCACTTATTATCTTTTCTGTAAACCCCATCCAGACCCGTATTTCTAGTCTTGTACTCTTTCTGGCGTTAAATATTTAATGTCTGTCAATTTTGTCATATTTGTTTATTTATTTAGCAAGTAAGACAAAACCTAGACCTATGTTTGATTGTGTAAATCAAAGTTAACGTTTCTGTTTTCCGTTTTAAAATTGTTTGATTTGAATGTTTATTTACCTGTAACACTGTCAACAAGGACCTGCCATTTAGGTAGTTCCTGTTCTAAATGTCTATTTACCTGTGACACTGTCAACAAGGACCTGCCATTTTGGTAATTCCTGTTCTAAATGTCTGATCTCTTTTTTATTTCTTCTGTCTGCAACAGCTAATTCTGAAAAATAAAAAAAATAAAACATTTTACTAAAAATTATTATACAAGATTCAAGGGGCATAGTTCTCCCCAGATATTTCATTTAGTATCCTGGTAAACAGGGAAATTTGATATACCATCTTATATCTAGAAATTATAGCATCACATCCATAACACAATCTATAACATAATAATATCAGATAGCATCACATTCAAGCAATATAGCATCACGTTACCATGATGATAAAAGGCCCTGGGGAGAACACTGAGGGGCACATAATACTAAGAAAGATAACTCTTAAAATCAACAAAGAGATTTATCAAATAACTTTGTGAAGTTGAAGCATACAGACTGAACAAGTTTAATTGTGAGCAAATGCTCATTTATGATACCCTGCTATTGGTTGCTGATTTGATTTGTAGTTCCTGAGAAAAATGTGACCAAAATATATCAGGATGGACAGATGGACACACAGACGACAGATGTAAATCAGTATATTCCTGACCTTTGGAGAAAGGAATATAATTATAACAAATGTCAAAACACTGACTACTAGCAGCATCATAAAATGAAGTTGAAAAAAAACTGTATGATTCATGGAATTAATGTTTTATTAGTTAAGTACTAACCATGTTCTAATATTTCATCTGTAGGATCCCTGAAATAAGACACACAGAAATTTGTAAGCAATAGACTATCTTCATATTACTGACTTTTGACTCCGGATTATATAATTTGTCGACTAGTTACCTTGGACATCATGGTACTCGGTCAAGTAAGAGCAACCAAAATAAGTAAAATCAAACATATAATCGGTGTAATTTGAAGGGAAAGTTTACTGTTTTCCGATGATTTTGTAGTGAAAAAAAATATTAACCAGGTAATTTACCCCCAAAATTGTACCGATTGAAAGCTTGGTTTTACTTCTTTAGCTTGCTCTTACCTGACTTGATACCATGATGTCCAAGGTAACCAGTCGACAAATTATATAATCCAGAGTCAAAAGTCGGTAATATGAAAATAGTCTATTGAACCAGAAACTTAACATGAATTCTTTTAAATAGCATTTGACAATACCATTGAACATTTATTATATGTTGGTGACATCTAAGTAAAATACCAAATGAACAAAGTTTCACATAATAAGAAAGAAATGTGTTGTATTAATTCATGCCACAAAATCCAGACATGCACTTCACAAAACCCAATACAAAGGAGCTCATCTTTTATTGCAATTTTTCAATAATTTTGTTGGTCATAAAGGATTTATTTTGTCTAAGGCAAATCTTCCCCCTTGTCATTTTAGAATTTGACGGAAGTTTGAATATGTTTTGAATATAACTGTTGATTCATTATTAACTGTGGGGTACAATATTCATGGATTTTTTTGGGCCAACTATTTCAAATTCATGAAAATTGGTACCCAGGAAAATAAATAAATGCACAGTATCTGTAGATACTCACTTTAAGTCATCATCATTCAGCATATCTTCAGCATCAGAAAAATTTAAAACATGATCCCCTCTTGGCATTGGTTGAACTGAGATAAAAAGAGAACAAATTAATACCACAAAAGGCTATATGTATACAATAATAAATTCTTATATTTAATTTGATGGAAATGAATAGATATCTGGCATTTATTTCTGTCACAAACCCCCTAAAGGGCATTTATTGCTGTTCTTCATCTCAAAGTCACAAGGAGGCTTTAACACAGAGCCAAGTTGAAGTGTTCTTCACAAAGAACATCAGCATAGATTTAGACAAGGCCAAAAATAAAACTAAAATTGTTTGATGTTGCCTACCTACCAACCTAAAAAGCAGCCTACCTGAAAAATTTTTTAAGTTTTCTTCGTGCTCTAATGTCCCTTATGTTATTGGCCAAAAAATTAAATAAAATCCCTACCCACCTACACAACCCTGCAAGGCATGGGTAGGCAACGTCAAACAAAGAATTTATTAATGGTGGCCCAACTGGTTTTTTTCTTTACATTACCGTCTCAAAAGAAAATCTGCATATTCATCAATTACCATTGAATATTCATACCTGATTGGTCTGGTAATAAATGATATTGTTTCATCAACAGCCAATGGTTGTGTAAAGATTTTGGGGTTCTCAAGGGGTAAAATGATTCAGGATTCTTGTCTATCAATTCTTCAAATACTTCTAAATTAGGCTGGCTTGTCTGTAATGGAAGTTAACTGACAATTAAATATAGTATAATAGGATAATATTTTTTACGTTTAACTTGTTTTGTGTTGTATGGTTGCTGTTTATCAGTTTTATCAATTGGTAGAAAAAATGTTGCCCTTTTATGATGAATAATGATTTTTGTATCCAATTGACAGAAAATCTTCTAAAATGTCCTACATATCACTATAGGATATTCCATCAAAACAAATGTGGGCGTTAACATGGTTAAGGAAGGAAAGTTTTATTTTTGAACTGTACAAGGGTTGGGTTCATTTATTGTCCATTTGATGTATACAACTACTCAAAAAAGTATTCTGCTTATGTAGTGTATTTTGAAAATTTCTTCCTACCCTCATATATTCATTTTAAGAAGTTAGCACTTCAAAGGTGCAGGATTCAAAACAGTCCAAAGAAATAATATTAAATCCCACATAACTCTCGACTTTGTACTGGAAACCATTTCTGTTGTGTAAATTTGTGTAAAATATAGTCCCAGTCTGTATGTAAAAAAACTGAGTCCAGTAAAACACGTAAAAATAAAAAAATATATTTTCAAACTTTTGACAAAGTGTCACAGGTTCAACAAAAAATCTCCCATTACTCTTTACTTCTGCATTGAAAAACCTTAACCATTCTGTTCTGTAACTGTTAACCCCTACTGGTACTTACAGACAATACTGTTCCCAGTAGTTTTTCCTCCTCTTTACTGAATAATGTTTTAGACTGGACACTGGCTATGATATCTGGATGTAACTGTTTAATGGCCTGCATACCCAACCTAAAATTCAATATGTTAGGTTTTATAAAAGTTTTAAAGTACATGTGCTACTTCATCATTTTATGCATTTGTTATTTTACATAAATCAGGCCACTTGTTTTCTCTGTTGAATTGTTTTACATTGTCATGTCAGGGTCTTTTATAGCTTTCTATGTGGGTTTTGCTCATTGTTGAAGGTCGTATGGTGACCTGTAGTTTTTGGGTTTATATGACTGTAAGAAAGTAATTGACGAAGAAAAATTTATATTGTGGTGCACTTCTTTTTTTGCTACGGCCATATGAAAGTACCCCATTTTAATGATTTTCCAATTTTTTATCAATTTTTACCCATTTTTGGGCTATTATCATGAAAAAAATCAAAGTTCCACAATTAAACTTTTTTTCATACTTTCACTTAAGATGAAGTGGACCAATCTGAATTAATTTAACTTAAAACAAATCAATAACCAATATTTCCTTCGAAAATCCGGTTAAAAACTATAGGTTGGTGTTAATAGTAGAAAGTTTATAAAATTTTGACCATGCTGTCAATTTTGTAAATTTGGGATTTTTCTCTCTTTTTTTTAGAACAAAAGCATATTATTTCAACTTCCTTATAAATGATTGAAAAAATACATATCTAAGAATTTTTAAAAGAAAAATTGATATGGGATGTACATGTTTAATGTAAAATCATTTCTTTGTACCCTCACTAATTGTCTCAATACTTTGGCTGATGACACTGACCGGTTTGGTTATAAAATTTGATATTTTATTTCTCAATAAAATGCTCCGCAGGGCGCAGCTTGATACGCAGAGGTCGAACCCTGAACAGTTGGGGCAAGTATGGACACAACATTCAAGCTTGATACAGCTTTGCATTTGGATTGTGATTAAATATTTGACACAGCATAGGTTTCTGACACAGAATGAATGTGGTCTAAGAACTTAAAAATTCTAAATTGGACATTCACCTATTATGGTCTAATATCCAAAATCTAAATACATGGTTAGATTCAGCATATCAAAGAACCCCAAGAATTCAATTTTTGATGAAATCAAACAAAGTTTAATTTTGGACCCTTTTGACCTTAATGTGGACAAAGTTGATAACGGGGCCCAAAAATCAAAAATCTAAGAACATGGTTAGATTCAGCATATAAAAGAACCCCATATATTCAATTTTTGTTGAAATCAAACAAAGTTTAATTTGGGACCCCGATTTGGACCAACTTGAAAACTGGGCCCATAATCAAAATTCTAAATACATGTTTAGATTCAGCATATCAAAGAACCCTAAGAATTCAATTTTTGTTAAAATCAAACTAAGTTTAATTTTGGACCCTTTGGACCTTAATGTAGACCAATTTGAAAACGGAACCAAAAATTAAGAATCTAAATTCACGGTTAGATTCGGCATATCAAAGAACCCCAATAATTCAATTTTTGATGAAATCAAACAAAGTTTAATTTTGGACCCTTTTGACCTCAATGTGGACCAATTTAAAAACGGGGCCCAAAATCCAAAAACTAAATACACGGTTAGATTCAGCATATTAAAGAACCCCAAGAATTCAAGAAGAAAACCCCTTTGAAATTGGTCAAGAAATAAGCAATTTATACGAAGTATCTTCTTTTGCACAATACTGTGCAATTAAATATTTCTTGCTATTGCGCAATACTGTACAATTGACAATTTCTTGCTATTGCACAATATTGTGCTATTGGATATTTCTTGCTATTGCGCAATACTGTGCAATTGAAGATTTCTTGCTATTGCGCAATACTGTGCAATTGAAGATTTCTTGCTATTGTGCAATACTGTGCAATTGAAAATTTCTTGCTATTGCACAATACTTATTATATAATAATTTACACATCCTGTTTGGTGTGTATCTCCTACCATATCATTATTATTTGCTTTTAAATATAAATCAGAAATAACCAACTTAAAATGGAAAATTTTAAAAGAAAAAAACTAGAGGCTCTAAAGAGCCTGTGTCGCTCACCTTGGTCTATGTGCATATTAAACAAAGGACACAGATGGATTCATGACAAAATTGTGTTTTGGTGATGGTGATGTGTTTGTAGATCTTACTTTACTGAATATTCTTGCTCCTTACTATTATCTCTATCTATAATTAACTTGGCCCGGTAGTTACAGTGGAAAATACTTTTAAAAATTTACAAAAATTTACAAAATTTATGAAAATTGTAAAAAATTGACTATAAAGGGCAATAACTCCTTAAGGGGTCAATTGACAATTTTGGTCATGTTGCCTTATTTGTAGATCTTACTTTGCTGAACATTATTGCTGTTTACAGTTTATCTCTATCTATAATAATATTCAAGATAATAACCAAAAACGGCAAAATTTCCTTAAAATTACCAATTCAGGGGCAGCAACCCAACAACGGGTTGCCTGATTGGTCTGAAAATTTCAGGGCAGATAGATCTTGACCTAATGAACAATTTTATACTCATCAGATTTGCTCTAAATGCTTTGGTTTCAGAGATATGAGCCAAAAACTGCATTTTACCCTATGTAATATTTTTTAGCCATGTCGGCCATCTTGGTTCGCGGGCGGGGTCATTGGACACATTTTTTAAACTAGATACCCTAATGATGATTGTGGACAAGTTTGGTTAAATTTGTCTTAGTAGTTTCAGAGGAGAAGATTTTTGTAAAAGATTACAAAAATTTACGAAAAATGGTTAAAAATTGACTATAAAGGGCAATAACTCCTTAAGGGGTCAACTGACCATTTTGGTCAAGGTGACTTATTTGTAGATCTTACTTTGCTGAACATTATTGCTGTTTACAGTTTACCTCTATCTATAATAATATTCAAGATAATAACCAAAAACTGCAAAATTTCCTTAAAATTACCAATTCAGGGGCAGCAACCCAACAACGGGTTGTCCGATTCATCTGAAAATTTCAGGGCAGATAGATCTTTTCCTGATAAACAATTTTACCCTTGTCAGATTTGCTCTAAATGCTTTGGTTTCAGAGATATAAGCCAAAATCTACATTTTACCCCTATGTTCTATTTTTAGCCATGGCGGCCATCTTGGTTGGTTGGCCGGGTCACCAGACACATTTTTTAAACTAGATACCCCAATAATGATTGTGGCCAAGTTTGGTCAAATTTGGCCCAGTAGTTTCAGAGGAGAAGATTTTTGTAAAAGTTTACGGACGACGGACGACGGACGACGGACGCAAAGTGATGAGAAAAGCTCACTTGACCTTTCAGGTCAGGTGAGCTCAAAAGAAAAAAAAAAAAATCCCCCCCCCCAAATTTTTTGAACCCCCTTATGATTCATCACCCCCAAACTCAATCCCAGCCTTCCCTTTGTGATATGGTACCTTGCAGTACAATTTCAGAGAGATCCATACACTTGAACACAAGTTATTGTCTGGAAACTAGAAAAATGTGTTTTTTGGCCCCTTTTTGGCCCCAAATTCCTAAACGTTTAGGGCAATTACCCCCAAACTCAAACCCAGCTTTCCCTTTGTGATATGGAACCTTGTAGTACAATTTCAGAAAGATCCATACACTTACACACAAGTTATTGTCCTGAAACTAGAAAAATGCTTGTTTTTTGCCCCTTTCTGGCCCCTAATTCCTAAAATATTGAGGCAATTACCCCCATCATCAATCCCAGCCTTCCCTTTGTGGTATGGTACCTTGCAGTACAATTTCAGAGAGATCCATACACTTGAACACAAGTTATTGTCTGGAAACTAGAAAAATGCTTATTTTTGGCCCCTTTTTGGCCCCCAATTCCTAAACGTTTCGGCAATTACCCCCAAACTCAATTCCAGCTTTCCCTTTGTGATATGGAACCTTGGAGTACAATTTCAGAAAGATCCATACACTTACACACAAGAAATTGTCATGAAACTAGAAAAATGCTTGTTTTTTGCCCCTTTTTTGGCCCCTAATTCCTAAAATTTTGAGGCTATTACCCCCAAAATCAATCCCAGCATTCCTTTTGTGATATGGAACCTTGTGGTACAATGTCACAGAGATCCATACACTAACACACAAGTTATGTCTGGAAGTTACAAAAATGCTTATTTTTGGCCCCTTTTTGGCCCCTAATTCCTTTACTGTTGGTACCATAACCCCCAAAATCAATCCCAACCTTTCTTTTGTGGTATTGAACCTTGTGGTAAAATTTCATAGAGATCCATTCACCTAAACTAAAGTAAGAGTGCGAAAACCAATGTGTCTTCGGACGACGCCGGACGACGCCAGACGACGACGACGACGACGCCAACGTCATACCAATATACGACCACAAAATTTTTTTTGCGGTCGTATAAAAACTACTTAATGTAAGTACACAATTTTTTTCACAGAGTTTAGTTTGATTATAATATTTTTTAAATTCATTGATATTTTCCACTTGTATCACATGTTTTGGAACTAATTCCCGAACAAGATTTCAACGAGACTGAAACATCAGAAAAATATATCCTTAATGTCCGCCAGTAATATTGAGCGCTAGCTTATAAAATATGAGACTTTTGTTTTATATTAGCTATTATATTTCAGTGATTTGTTATCTATCATGTCCATTTCTTTGTGAAACTATTTAGGAATTTGGTGTTTTGAACACATGCTTTATTTTTGTGTCCCTGGATTGGTGTCTGATTGATGTATACCTCATATCTCTTTTTATTCATCACTACTGAGGATTCATTAATTTTTGTGGGTACCAATTTTAGTGGATTGAGAAAAAATGCATTTTCCTGGATATTTGATTTTAAATGTCTGCACACAATCCTATAGAAAATGTATACTCTCTCGAACATTTCCGGTATACCCACGAAAAATTAGTATCTCATGAATAACTATAAATTCACAGTATGTCTGATCAAGTATTCTGATCAATTTACAGGGACAGAATGGAGGGGTGGAAAAGGGAGTCCCTGATTTCCACTTCCCTCCCCCAAATCCTACTTCTCTACCCGTTTACTCCCAGACAAAAATCAGTCAAAATTTTTTTCCCACCATATCCCTATTTTTACTCCCTCTCCCCCCCCCCCCCCCCCCCCCCATAACTCCTGCTTCCCACCCCCTCATTACCATGTTCCTGTACCCCTGTCCACTCCCTCTGAACGTGACAATTAAATCTTACTTTGATATAATAGGATCATATAACAAGGCGAACCATCGTTCTTGTATTTCTTTCAATGTAAATCTACACGAAAACTTTATCCCTAAATGTACAGCAGTCAGGTCACTTGTCTGAAGAAAAAAAATATTTCATGATATAAACCTTGTATTTTTTTTAATCACTTTTAATAGAAGATTTACAGCTAAACTGAATCTGTCAGATCTCTTGTTTCGTTAAAAGAGAATAAGAATGTTGCATGAAATGTTAATTAAGTGGTTGAGTCTTTAACTCTTATTTCATTTTTGAGCATCATGGAAAACAGAAAGTACTGTATTGTAAATTCAGAAATTATTGCTTGCATTTATTATTGTGATTTTTGAAGAATGAACAAAAATGTGAGATTAATTATTGTGATTGCAGGAAAAGCTGGATACAGATATATGTAGCATATATCAGAATGCAACTTCTTATCATTGTGATACTCACCCAATCGCATTATACGCATTAATAAAAACCTCACAATAATTTCTGAATTTATAGTATATAAATGTATAAACCTGTTTCCAGACTCAAGCATGGGGCGGGGTCCTTTATAGCTTGCTGTTCGGTGTGAGTCAAGGCTCCATGTTGAAGACTGTACTTTGACCTATAATGGTTTACTTTTATAAATTTTGACTTGGATGGAGAGTTGTCGCATTGGCACTGGTACCACATCTTCTTATATCTATTTGTTTGTTCGTTGATGTTTAACACCACCTTCAGGGACCATAGCTACATCAAAGCGACCAGTTTTTATTGGTGGTGGAAGCCTGAGTAAGCCAAGAGAATCACAGACCTTTAGCAGGAAAACTGACAAATCCTTCTCAATTAATATTACCAAGAGCAGGGTTCTAAATCCCAACCTCAGAGTTGACATTCAATTTTATTTCTGGGCCCTCGGTTATAAAACTTTACTCAGTACTCTGAGTACAAAATTTGTGCTCGAAAAACCAAATCCAGTATTTTAATTGGCAGATATCTGAGTCTGAGTATGATAATAGTGCCTGAATTTTTCATGACTGCAAGGGTTTGGTTCTAAGGCTTTTTATTAGAATAATAAATAAATAAGTTTTTTCACAGAGTTAATTGGTACTGCTAAATTGATGTATAAATTATCATTTTACTCACAAACTCAACAAAGTCTGTCAGATTTTATTCAGTTTGAGTCAGTCTGCCAAGTTTATCATCAATAAACCCTGTCATTACTAAAATAGACTTTAGTCATTGTTGAAGGCCGTACGGTGACCTATAGTTGTTAATTTCTGTATCATTTGGTCTCTTGTGGAGAGTTGTCTCATTGGCAATTATACCACATCCTCTTATTTTTTAATTTATATCTTATTTTTTGATTAGTCAGGTCTAAAGTCAGGAGCCTGTAATTCTATGGTTGTCGTTTTTTGCTGTATATCATATTTGTTTTTTGTTTATTGTTTTTTACATTAATTAGGCCATTTGTTTTCTGTTTGAATTGTTTTACATTTGTCATTTCAGGGCCTTTTATAGCTTATAGGCAGTATGGGTTTTGCTCATTGTTTAAGGCCATACAGTGACCTATAGTTGTTAACTTCTATGACATTTCATTTTGGTCTCTGACATCTTACTATAATAGTTAGTAAATCTACAAGTGAACACAGTCCCCACTGATAAACCCCTTGTCACTTGTCTACAAAATTTCAATGTTTGTGTATGACACTTACACTAACTGCAGAACCGTATTAAAGCTAATGGTCCTAATTTGATTGTTGATATTTGTGTGGATCATAGATCTATGGCTAAAAGAATATCACATGGACCATAAGAGCTACATTTCTGCAGCTAGTATTACACATGATTCACAGACCAGCTGTCTCAAATCTCTTGTCAGAAGATTTATGAAATGGAATGATGAAATGTAAACACCTATCTTGAAATTGACAGAAGATGGTTTTTTTTTTCTCCTTTACAGTTTTTTTGCTATGTTATATGATTGCTGTCTAGCTATTTGAAATTTATTCCTTTTTGTTTGTAATGAAAAAATAAGGCATACAAACTGATCAATCGAAACCATTAATTTCAGTGACGTAATTTAAAAGTGATGAGTCTTTAACAATAAATACTACTTTGTGATATTTTCATTTTTAATAATTATAAAATATTTCTCTCTGTATATTTATGTACACATTTTCTAAATGATCAAATAAAATTGTATATGTACATATTATTTTTTTACATAACATGCATAAATTGTTTATAAAACATCATAAATTAATCAATGAAAAGAATAGATAAACAATGTGCATTCATAGAATAGATATCTCATACACATACTATATATAAATTAAAATAAAAATAGAAAATTTTAAATATATATATATACAATTTGCATGTACAGGTAATTTATTTTACAGGTTAAAGGTCAAAGGTTCTATTCACAGAACTTTGTAAATATAACAAATAAATCAAAATATAAAATGAACAATTCAGATTAGAACAATGTTCATATTTTCCCTGTTTTTACAACAACAATTTAAAAACAGAAAAGTTAAACTAGCAGTCACTCTGTTGAAATAAAGCACGAAACACAGGTAATCTTAGTTTCTGGTTAAATAAGTCATTAATTGATTGGTGGATAAAACTGACACACTTGTAGTGCCAGATCTGGGTAGTGATGTGATACTGTAGAATAGTAGCATTTCTAATGGCAACAATAAGATCTTTGTCTAGTGAGTCTGTATTCTTTCCAGACGTAGATTTTCCACCATAGAGTTCCAACAAGGTAAATAAATGCCAAACAAGATCACGGGCAAATATCTGTGGTTTGGAGC